GGCAAATGCCGGGCCGATACAAGGACTTTGTGCTTTCATAATAATACACTGAAAGTTCAAAATAGTGGGGGAGACTGTTATGTCTTCTCTAAGACTGTTAATAATTCATTTATACATATTTTACTATCATATGTTTTTCTATTGTTTTTGTTTTGTAAACATTCATGAATTAGATTTTGTGTTGAGTTAATATGCGTGCATTTATTAATTATTTTGTAATTAATAAGAGTCATTTTAGCACTCGAAAAAAAATTAGGGTATAGTTCACTGATAAATTGTAGTTCCATATATCCAATGTACTCGCCATTACGAGAAATTAATGTTTGGTGCTGCTGAAACACTGATCTTGAGTAAGATTCATTATCTAGGTACGATAAAATGTTTGTATTTTTTCCACTCATTAGCAATTTCTGTACAACTTGCAAACGGTTTCCCAATGATTGTTCTGGTGGCCGTAGAGAATAAATTATATTGATCGGAACAAACAGTTCCGTCCCCTACTATGGGTATTATTGCATACTCAAACCGAAACTCAATTAGCACATTCCTTCAAATCTGTTCGCAGGAAAACTAATATTCATTTTGTTTGAGTTAAGCCTCCGAATCACTGATCAATACGTGTACTGGTGAAATTACCTGCTGTCAAGTGATCCTTTTGACCTTGAAAGGCGACCGGTTTCAACCCTCACGGGGTCATCTTCAGGCGGACGTCGTCATCGTCTTTTTGTTCTTGCGAACACGTCGTTTTTTAAAGACGTTTTTTGTCTAGACTCAACTTCCGTGTCGCCCGCCGCTCCACCGATCGGTACCATAATAGTTATTGGCCATTTTTCGTGTTTTGTGTTAAGTGTTTTAAATGTTAAAAACTGTAAACCTCAATGTTTTTTAAAAAACCACGTGTTCGCAAGAACAAAAAGACGATGACGACGTCCGCCTGAAGATGACCCCGTGAGGGTCGAAACCGGTCGCCTTTCAAGGTCAAAAGGATCACTTGACAGCAGGTAATTTCACCAGTACACGAAAACTAATACATTATTCGAAAATACTAAATTTACACCAAAACATAGGCTACAAATCATTAAAAAGTATTATTCACATGGCCAAAATGTAAACAAATCTGTGGAGGGATCTTTAAAGGCTTCTGGGACAGAGCCCTAAGGGAATTTGATTCGTTTTCCTTTTGATAACTCATCTACAGACCAAGACCTTTCTTTGGACACCTCTACCAAGTTTCTACGCCCAGCCGTTCTCTCAAATTTGTGGAGACAAAGTTTCCAACTAAACATTTAGATTCCCCCATGTTAATCTTATAGGAGAAAACTCAACTTTGATGGAAGATCCTGCCCAAACTAATAAAGATTTCAAAAAATGAAAAACACTTTGCAAAACTACAGATCGGCCATTTTTTTTTTTGACACTTTAATAATTAAAATCGGTCAAAAAATGAGGGAGGAGTTCTGTTTACAAAAATCGGCTTAGCGTATTATATATATAGAAGATTGTTTTGTCGATAAAACCAGTTTAATTTTCAATCTCTTTGGGTTTGAACTGTTTTTGTATAAGTGAACAAGATAATTTAAAAACTGTAGTTTTAATTTAACTGAAAAAATTTAAGCTTCACAGACCCTCTTTGAGAGGTTAGAATTCCACAAAATTATTATTAAGTATTTCAAGAGTAAACTGAAAAATCTATTCCCATTTTTGGACGAGGAGGATCTCTTGAGAGTTGGAGGCAGATTGGCAAATGCAAATATACCGTTTGACATGAAACATCAATTGTTATTGCCAGGAAAGCATCATTTTTCAAAACTTCTGATTAGAAATGAACACATCAGACATCTATGGCACTCAATTGGTTCAGAATGTAATACGACAAAAATATTGGATTATTAACATCAAGAATGAAATAAAGTCAGTTATTCGGAGTTGTACAACATGTATCAGGTACAAATCGTCAACAGCTTTTAATATAATGGGTAATTTACCAATCTCCAGAGTCAATGTTGGAAGAGCCTTTAGTAAAACAGGAATAGACTTTGCCGGTCCTATTACTACAAAAAGGATGGGAGGAAGAGTAAAAGTATTTTTAAAGAGTTATGTTGCACTCTTTGTTTGTTTGATTACCAAAGCTGTCCACATTGAATTAGTTTCCGATTTAACTTCAGATGCCTTTTTGAGCGCTTTCAAACAATTTGTTGGTCGAAGAGGATTTCCTAACGACGTATATTCTGACAACGCAACCAATTTTAAAGGTGCCTATAACCAACTACACCGTGAAATTGTGAAGTCCGATTCAATTTCGAGATTTTCTCAAGAACGAAGTATCAACTGGCACTTCATTCCTCCATCATCTCCACACTTTGGTGGATTGTGGGAGTCAGCAATTAAATCTATGAAGATTCACCTAACTCGAGTAATGGGCGATCAAGTGTTAAACTTCGAAGAACTTTCCACTTTACTGGTTGAAATCGAAGCTTGCCTCAATTCAAGACCACTATCCCCTATGTCTAATGACCCAAGAGACTTAAATGTTATTACACCTGGGCATTTTCTTATTTTTGCTCCTTTAACTTCAGTTCCTAACCGAGATTTGACTGGATATAAAATTAATCACGTAAAAAGATGGACACTTGTAACACAAATGAATCAACATTTCTGGAAGAGGTGGTCCCTAGAATATTTAAATAATTTACAACAAAGAAGCAAGTGGATGGAAGTAACAAAGAATTTAAAGGTCGGAGATCTAGTCATCGTCAAGAAAGAAAATATTCCTCCATGTAAGTGGCACACTGCCAGAGTAGAACAAGTACATCCAGGAACTGATGGAATAGTACGTGTGGTCACCTTAAAAACAAGTGGAATAATCAAACGATCCATCTCAAAACTGATTGTGATTCCAACGGACTGATCTTGAGATACAGGGTATCTCAAGGGGCGGAGAATGGTTAGACTTTACCATCAATTCTTTCTTAAATCATATGTTTCTAATTATTAAAATGTTTTTGTTTTTACTTAAAAATGTAAATACAATATGAGTTGAGTGAGTAAATCAATGTGAAAACCAAGTCCACTTTTTCTGAGTTATTATCTATAATTTACTTACGAACTACCTGATTCTCTGCATAACCTCTCTGACACAATTTTATTTGCTTCAATTGGAATTAATTTGGCTAGTTATTATTATAACGTAAATTAATAAATTATATTTACCTGAGAAAATGCAGAATTAAAAGGCCTAATGTGTCATGACCTACCTTCTACCGACACGGTAAGTGTCCGATGTTTATTAAGCATTTTTTCGTTTCGTCTTTTGGCCAATCAGTGTTAATGTTTCGTGTACGTGTGTGTTATTTTTTTGTGAACTTTAAACCTTATGACGTCCATTCTATGGAATAAATCAATGCAACAATTTGACCTGAAGATGTGTTAATATTAACATGAAACAGCTGTAGTCAACCAACTACAAACCGGGATCACTTGACGGATACAGGTAATTTAAACCTTTTATTGTAAAAATCAGTGATCCAGAGGCTATACCATAAAAACTAAGTTAATAGTCTAAGCAAACTAAAAAAACGTACGCAGGGATCGTTAAAAAAATTGCAAGAAAACGTTTTATGGTTTTACTTTGTAGAGTTGGGTTTGCAGAATGACATACTAAAAGTTGCCAAAAATCGGTGCACAAGAAAACCACTAGAATCACAATTTAAAATGGCGGCTTTTCCCAACATTGGACAAATTAAAAAAACATATTTCACATGCATTTGTTTTGCACATTTTACGAGATATTGACTTGGGACCACCGCGTGTATTTATTGGGTGGTTAGTACTTCATTTTGATAGGGAACACGTTTTTGGCCACCATCTTGGATCCGCCATATTGGACATAGATAATTTTTTTCAATGTAATGATAGTGTTGTGACATATCATTGCAAACTACATTTTTACACTGATTTCAATGCCGAAATCCGTTTTTAAATATCTTTTTTCATTTAGAAGATATATTCAAACGAAAACTCTCCCCCATTCATTTCTTATGGACGTTTTGTACTTTGATAATTTTTAAAAATTATTTTTCTTATATCTCCAGTTCTTATTAACACTTGTAGTTCATTCTAGGCTTAAAACATTCAGTGATGTGAGGGCTTTCATTTGAGCTCTTGATCATTAAAATCAGACGAGTTAAAGACCAGCTACGAACCTCGGAACAATATTAAATTTAACTTTTTAGAAATATATTTTTATTAAAAGATTTATAACTCGGGTTGTTAATACATCACCAAGTTCTTTTTGGTCTCAAACTACTCAGTAAATGTTTGGCTTTAATTTTATTAATCATTAAACAAAATCTGACAATTTTAAAATGAGTCATGGACCATAATTTAACATTAAAATGTATTTATTTTGAAATTTCTCTTTAGTTAAAGACGTATATGCCCAATTCTAAATAACTCCCAAATGTCTTTATAGTCTTAAATAATTTGTAATACCACTGACTTTTATTTTAGCTATGGATTACTTATTGGGAGTAATTAGGGTTTGGGATATATGTCCTTAACTAAAGACAGATTTTGAAAAAGAAATAATTTACTGTTAAATGAAGATTCATGACTCATTTTAAATTTGTCAGATTTTATTTAGTGGTTAATAAAATTAAAGAAAAACATGTACAGAGTAAAAAGGACAAATAAAAAACTTTTTGCAACTTTTTTAAGGTCATATCCTATATTTCTTTGACTATAATAGCTTATTCCCTATATGGAAAATTCTGTAACCAGAAAACTTAAGATATTTTTTATGTTGATTGTTTATAATAAGTGTGTGAGATACAATGAGATAATATATGCCTTCTGCCTTCTATCGCCATTAGGCTTTCAGTCCTCCCAAATCAAATGTCACCTTGCTCTTTTCCAGCTGGGAAAATATACTAATTTATGATAGTTGCCAAGGTATAATGAAAAACTTAATTTAAACAGTAAACAATTTATTAAATGAGTGAACAACTTAACAGTCAATAAATATCCTTTGATAACAATAAATCACAATACCTTTTACAATAAATCACAATACCTTTTTTAATGTATCTCGACTGGAGGTGTTGGAAAATACAGAAACGTCTTTACCTTGCCTTGCATCAAAGTTTGAGAATATTTCTCTGTATTTATCATTATTCCTACCAAAGTAATTGTCCGGATCATAAGAGGTATAAGAGTCCTTTAATCTTGTTGGGAATGCAGATGTGTTTCTGTGAAGGTCGATTAGGTTGTCGGGAATGTTTTTGCTGGGACGAAAAAAGTCAGCTGTGACATTTGCACCTTCAACATTATAAAGAGAATTATTAACATATGTAAGATTGTACCGCAACTGTTTAGAATTGCTGTCTTTTTTATTTTCTGTAGTGTTACGCCTCGGTTTCAAAGAAAATAAATTATCCTTGAACTTGGGTTTTTCATTGTTGGAGTTTTGCTTGCTGCCAACACTATTGTTTGGTCTATTGGTTGGTCTGTTGTTAGCTGATGATCCAAAGTTACTGACACGGTAACATTCTTCTAGTAAAGAATTCCCTCCGATAATGAACACTTCTGACTTCGGAGGGTTATAATTCTGGTAAGGGTTGAAAGGGTAGTATCCTCCACCACTATGGATGTGAGGCCAAACCTAAAAAAATATATATATGTCAACTTAACAGCAATACAAAAACTCTGAAACACTTCCTGACTTTACCAAGCTGTTTAAACTACTGAAGAGCCATGCCAATCAATCTACAGCCATTTTAGACTACAGTTAGGCAAAATACTCAAAATTTCAAATTTCAAATTTCCCTTTTGAAAATTTCTCTTCAAACCATTTTAAAGAGCTTAAACAAACAAATAATTTAGTATATAGAATTGTTTTTGTGCAGTTATCGGTTACGTGAAAAAAATTGTAAATTTAAAAATTTCTTTATTTTATACTAAGCTATTAATATTTTACTAAAAACACACTTAATAACCGCCACCCCCCTCCCCTTTAGCAGCAAACCTAGGTAATCGTTAAACCTAATGCTATTTAAATAGCTTTAAGTGAGAGTCACATCGGGCAAATGGAAATTCGCTTAGTCTTTAGCGCGATAACTCGAGCAAAAATTATCAGATTTTAATGGAATTCGGTACAAACGTGTAAACCTAAGTTTATTCAAACGAGATCAGACTATGGGAACGGGGGTTTATGGGGGGATTTATGGGATAAAAATCCTTGGATCCAAAGACGATTTTTTATGTGCGTGTATGTGTGTGTTGTGTGTCTTCAATGTATTACATTTTGACAAGTCCTGGATTAAGAAATTAAGGTGAGTGAAGCCCACAAAATGATCAATACAGTATAATAAACCTCGCCTAAAAACATGTCTTTCAAAAATAAGTTTTTGATAGTACAATCCCGTTCATTCCTAGCTAGATATAGGATAATGAACAATCATGCAATTATTGTAGAATGATGAGTATGTTGTTGTTAAATTGGAGTTCAAGTATTTGGCGGATACTTCTTCTACTTTCCGTGTCCAGAAATCAGACTTCGCTTTTCCAAAAAATTAGCTACCCATATGGCTTTGTCATTCGCATGTAAAAGATCATATCATTTAATGTGCAAGACTGGTCCAGCCGTGGGCAGATCAGCAGATGGCCAGGATCCTGATCAGTACCACACGCGCACAAGATGTTTTCTTCGTCTGGTAAGAGACCCCATTTCTTGCATGTTTGTCTTGCATTTTGGTACCTCGACCCTAATTCGATTTAGGGTCTTCCACACCGTGTAATGAAGGCCTCCACCAGGAGCCAGTTCCTCCCTGGCTGGTATGGGAGGGTTAATCAACGTGGCCTCCCACCTTGTCACCCGATTGCTTGAGAGTGATCCATCCAGGACTCGTGTCCGTGATAAAAAGCTCTTTCTGGACCGAAGCCGTCGCTCTGCAGGTTGGTGGCCGTGTAATGGGTGACGAGGGTCTGTCTCTTGCTTAGTCCTTTCTGCGTCGGAAGCGACATCACGTCGGATTGATGGAGGGGCGATCCCTACGATAGGATAGAGTTTGTGTACTGGGGTTGGTTTCAAACACCCAGTTACGATCCGAGCCATGTCATTTGACTGCAATGTCAACCTTTTTTGCATGTGACGATGCATTCCATACTGGTGCAGCGTACTCCGCAGCCGACACACTGAGCGCTAAAGCTGAGGTTCTGAGGACATTAGGGTTATTAGGGTTAGCACCCCAACATTTGCTGGTGAGTTTCCTGATGATATTATTCCACACTGAGACTTTACCTCTTGTCGCAATACAATGCGCCTTAAATGTCAGTGTGCGGTCCAGTATGACACCAAGATATTTGGGTGTAGGACAATGCTGAAGACGGTCTCCCCGCCACCTCACATTCAACTCACGGCCTGTTTCTCTATTGTTCAGGTGAAAGGCACAAACTTGGGTCTTAGCAGGGTTCGGCTTGAGGTGATTTGCGTCATAGTACTGGGAAAGTTCATTTAGAGTCATAGTCAGCTTCTGTTCCACCTCTTCAAAACTCCTACCTTGTGCCGCCACCGCCGTATCATCTGCATATATATACTGACGTGTAGCGTTTGGCAACGGTTGGTCATTAAAGTAAATGTTATAAATAAAGAGCTGGGGCTAAGACGCTACCCTGAGGCAATCCATTTCTTTGATTCCTCCATCTACTTTTCTTGCCTTAAAGGGACACGAAAAACCGCCTGTTATGAAGAAAAGTGCCTATCATTGAAGTCAGCTGATAGTCTTTGGTGATACTGTACACTTTTCCAAGAGTCTTCGATGGTTTACGGTATCGTAGGCAGCTGTTAAATCTACAAAAGCGACACCCGTGATCTGTTTTCTCTCAAACCCATCCTCAATATGTTGGGTCAGGTTTAAAACTTGGCCACAACAAGACTTGCCTGATCGAAAGCCTGCCTGTTGTGGAATGATCTTTTATTCCAGAAAATCGCCGATTCGATTGAGTATCAGACGTTCTAATATTTTATATATGTGGCATAAGAGGGAAACAGGTCGAAAGTTCTTAGGATCGTTTGGATCTATCCCAGGTTTGAGCAGTGCAGCCACACGAGCTTTCCACCATGCCTTTGGTATATGCATTTGGCTTACGCACATGTTCATGAGGCTCAACAACCATTGTATGGCATTTATACCTAGGTTCTTTAGCTGTTCGACTCTGATCTCGTCAATACCTAGAGCTATATTAGTCTTTAAGCTGGTAATGACTGCAGTTAGCTCCGACATGGTGAATGGTTCTTCCAGGAAGTGATTCTCACTTGCCACATCACGCACAACAGGCTCCCGGTATTTCCTTCCATAGGTTTTGCCATTTAAAAGAAGGTTGGTAGCGACTTGATCGGCAGTAACTGTTGTAAAGTTGTCTTTTGGTTTTGTCGCATCTCCATTTATGTTCTTGAGGAACTTCCAGGCCCGTCTGCTGTTCACCTGCTAAACTCTCCACAAGATCACACCACTTAGTTTTGCGATTTTCGGCAATGACTGACATAAGCTCTTCACCTGCTAGAAGTGTGTCCTCAGCAAAGGGATCATTGTCAAAGAGACCTTGGTATCGTTCTAGCAGTGGCTTTGCCTCTTCAGAGAGTCCTGCGATGTAATGGGTTCGACAGCCTCTAGGTATCATTTTTCTCGAGACCTGCTGGACAAGCTTAATGAAGGAGTCATACATATCAGGTTGTGGAGGGATATTGGCGATTTCTCTGTCAATGATCTCCCTAAAACCCGTCCAGTTGGCCTTTTTGAAATTAAACCTGCGCCTTAGAGGAACAACTTCAGGTTTAACAACAGCACTTACGGTGCATACTATAGGTCTGTGTTGAGTTCGGGGAATCGGATCACCTACAGACTTTTCACACTGGGAGGCAATCCTGCTGCTCACAAAGATGTTGTTAGGGTTATAAACCCTCTTACATCTACCGCTGTTAAAGGAGCAAGGGAGCTTAGGATCGTGTATGAGCTGCAGGTCATTTGTCTCAGCCCAGGTTTCAAGTTTTGTCCCATTTTCACTTGTCTCTTTGTCCCCAAGCAATGCTCTGACCATTAAAATCCCCCAAGACGAAATTAATGTCATCATAGCATAGATTATCGGGCTCTGTAAATACATACTGACATTCGGGAGGCTTATACAAAGAGTTGACACTGTACTGTGGTGTCCTGACCGTTAGTATCTCAGTATTGTTCCTCTCAGTAAGCGAAGCTGAGGTGATGTCAATGTATGGCCTGGCAAAAACAGCACTACCATATTGATCATGAGGTCTCTCTAGAATCAGTCTCATTCCCTCTATGTTGGGTCTAGGTTTTAACATGCCCCGGTGTGTTTCTTGCACAAGGAGGAAGTCGCATTCGTACGTCTTGCTCATATCAGACAGTAATACTTCTTTGTCTCTGGATATTCCCTCGATATTAATCGAGATCGTTACTAATGGCCTTGAAAAAGACCGTTTAGGCATATTCATTTTTCGAAGTCGTCCGGTTGTAGAAGGATTTGCCGCTGACATGTCAGCGTTGCCCGGGGTGCGCCCGATTGTGATGTCGTTCATAGCGTGTAATGTTCACAATCTTCGGGGAGGCTCCTTCTGTGTACCCAAAATTTGGCGGATTAAATAAAGTATTAGTGGTTGAAAAGTAATTTACAAAATAAAATTTAGAAAGTTAAGGTTGTAAATAAGTTTTCCCTCTGTTTTAACTTCGTTAGTCACACATGCTTAAGTTTAAGTTTGATTATATATGAATTGATTTAGCCCTAAAAGCTGTAAAATAGCTCTAATTTTAGTTTCTAATTATTTTGTTCGTCTATAAGATTAAACATTTATCTTTTTAATTTAAATTTTTGTGAGCGAAGTGATGACAGGTTTGCTAGTTCATTATAAAACTAGCTGAGTACCCGTCCTTCGTACGGGGTTGGCATATTTTAAAATGCAATAAAATGCTGCAATAAAATGCTTATTGCAGTTATACTCAAGCTTTGCGTTTGCAATGGGAGAAAATACAGTTTGGTAAAATTTTGTTCTTTAAATTTGCGTAATGCTATAGTATAACACATCTACCATAGCCATAATGTTTTACCACTGCACCTAAACAATAGAAAAAAATCAATTATCAAACATTCTCACAATATCACAAATTATTCATAAAATTAAAAATATAAACATCACTGTAAACAATCCTACTTTGACAGTTCTCACTGCATATCACAGTCTTTTGTCTTTGCTTAGTTCAAATTAGCTGTTGTCATTTAAATGCAAAAAAATTATAGTGCTGCACCCCGTTGATAAACCTTATAACTTTTTAATGCTATTGCATATCATAGAACCAACTTAAATATTTGAAACAGCTGACTAAATTCTTTAATTCCTTTTAAATATGAATACTCATAAGTTTAACATGGGGAACTACAGAGCCACTGGGGCGGAGCCCGAAAGGAATTTAGAGATCAGAATAGGCATCTATATAATTAATACGCTACATGAAACTTTGTCGGTTGAACTTCTCCGCCATTTCTTAACCGATTTTATCCATTGACGTCTCATTGGAAAGATCGTGTCACGTAGATTTGCAAACTGGCCTTACATTTTTGAAAAAATCCCCTGGGCTCTGCCCCAGTGGCTTTGAAAGTTCCCATGTTATCCTTATGAAGAACATAATTGTTTACATTTTGATCAGCTGTATAATTTAATTGCTGTTATTTATTATTCAATTCAATGAAACGCATTGAGTACATTTATTTACTATTTGAGTTTGTGTAAACATAACCTCCAAGACGGATCGTGTTAGTATGGTTGTATCTTAAATTTGTGTATTTAACGTTGTTTTGTGTCGCTATGACGGATCGTGTTAGCATGATGGTAACTTAAATTTGTGCATTTATCGTTGTTTTGTGTAGCAATAATTTGTTTATTTGTTGTTTTTTTCTTTTAAATGCCTCCGACGCGACTACAACGAAACATAGACAGGAGGCGTAATCGTGATAACTACCGCAGCTACAGAACAGGGGCGCGTAATAAACTTAACTCATCACAGTCAGCACCTGACCCTGGACAATCTCAACTATTAGGATACAAATGCGTTCTAACACTATCCCAAAACGACTTTTCGTTGTCAATTGGCCCTCTATCAATGACCTGTGTTGCCTGTACAGCGAGGCATTTTGAGAAGGAGAAAACCGGACGGATTGCTTTAGGTTTATCAATAACTACGATAAACATGGTCTGCGTTATACACCGGTAATCTTTGAGTTGACTCTTTTAAACTCATTGTAAATATGACTGTTATTCGTTTTGAAATAACTTCTGTAATACTTTGCAATTGCTCGAATTCGAGCAACATGTACACTAAGAGAAAGAAAATAAACAAACCACTTCTATGATTTCAATTGAATTGTTTCTAAAAATGGTTAGAGCATTGTAGTTAACACTAATACCGAAACCCCCGGTCTGTGAGACCCCATTTGAAAAATAATGGACCTCGCTTAGAAACACAAACCGAAACCCTCGGCCTGTGAGACCCCGCATTAAAATACTCTAACGCAGGGCTTCTGAGACAACCTGTCAAGGTCACGGCACCCATGCAAAATGAACAAACAATATATCAATAGGTAGGGGAGGAAAAGTGGGGAAGGTATTGGGGGAATGGAATCTCCTAAGTAAACAATGTTGCCAACATGCGTTTTCGAAAATTCCCGTGGGCCTGTCAGACCGGGGTTTCGGTATTAGTGTTAAAAATGTATTTGATAAATACCTCACACTGATAGATTCCATCACTATTGTCTGTTATAGGGTGTTTGATGAGTAGTTCTGAGATGACAGTGCCATCATGTGCTCGGATATGGACATCGTAGAGATCCTCCTGGTGTACAGTAGAACCGTCTGCTATATGAACACCTTCAGCACCAAACAACAGCTGCTGAGGACACTGGTGCTTGGTCCACACTATGTGCTGCACAGTGCAGACATCACACCTTTCACTTACTGTATGTTGTAATTTCAAGAATAATTTTTATCAAGGTCATTCCATACAGCGTGTATAAAATATTTGACAACATGAACTTTTCAATATATATTATTTTCATAAACACTTTTTTATCCCTAAGGTGTGTGTTATAGCACCAGTCATACAAAAATCATTTTTATTTTTATGGGGCCTTGACAAGCTATTTTCAAGAATACACTTCAGTCCAGCTAATCCAAACTAATTGAGACCGAACGCTGTAAGAATCAGCCGATTGTTTCGGATTAGCCTAAATCTAAATAATTTAAATACAGTAGAACTTTGATTATCTAGGGTTATTGGGGGAAGAGATACCACGGTTAATGAATACTACAGTTAACTCAACATACAGTAGAACCCCGGTTAACCGAAATAAAGGGAGGAGAGCCGTTTCCGATAACCCATCAAATGCTAAAAATAGCCAATGTATCACATAAGTGTGTAGGAAAATGAATTTAAGAGAATGTGTATATAATTCAGTGTTTTATTTCAGCTACAAAAATGTTACAATGGGATAGAAAATACTTTAAACCAGACAACTGAAGTTATAAAAGCATTTTACAGCCCTATAATATTTTATAGAACCATTTCGGTTAACCCGAAGGGAAAACAATGTAATACTGTGTGAATACACTTTAGTGTCATCATTCGCATATTTACATAAAAATTAATAGTATTGCATTATCATGTGATATTTCAAGTCATTAAACTCGGTTTAGATATACGAACTGTAACGTTTAAAATGACAGCTTACTCAAACAAAAAACTAGCAATAAATTACGTAAAGAACATAACATCTCTTGTAAGCTTCTGCTAGTGATAGGCTATCGGAGCTTGCTATTTGAGAACAGAGGCATGTGGATAATAATAATCAACTCTAGTTTGATCAAAGAACAAAAGCGGTTGAGGTGAGAACTACCTGCGGCTAATGAACGAATTTTAGCGAGTTTCCCATATAGGGAATAAGCTATTACCGTAGTACTCATGGTAAGACCTGGACCCGGGACCGATTTAATTTTTTGTTTTGAGGTCTCTAGAGGCCAAAAACACTATCCGCTCAAATTCATATATACCGTATATATACAGGGTTAGTAAAAGTCTGGAGACCCCCTGTCAATTTTTTAACGGCCCATACTAGAAAAACTAAACTTGGCACACCTTTATGGCATGTTATGAAGTACTTTTTGGGCATATTGGCATAACCGCCACTTGGTGTACATCCCCAAAATGGGGTATTTTAGAGGAAACTAAAAAATTTCAAATAGTAAGACCCATCGAACGACCCCTCATTTTGAAGATCCTGGTTGTGACGCATAGCGGCACGCTATATTTTTTATAATGTGTGCATTTCGCGAAGCCGGGCTGCATGACCAACTCGTTGCCTGCCGCGACTGCATTGACGCTCTCTCCCCACCTCCCTACACTCTTGTCCTCTTTCTTCGTCAACCGTCATCTGAACAGGAAACAGCAATTGCGACCTTCTCTACCGATGCAATGGATAAGTGATTCTAAATTATATTTAAGTAGGAATTAATTAGTAATTATGGTTGGGTAAGTCAGGTAACAAGCGGGGAGCCCTTCTGGCTCGCCCTACTATTGAAATGAAGGAAATTACAGCTTAGCCGGTTGGCTGCCTTCTAGCCAACCTTCTCAAATCTGAAAAACTCAATCACATGTTCCCAGAATGTAAATTAATAGTTATCAATCAAGTCCATGCATATTTCACATTCAGTATTTAATTTACATATTATCTCATTCAATCATCAATATTAGTAAGTTATTATTCATGTTCAGTTCATACTTGGAAGGATAGGTCTACGGTTAGCAAGGGCGGGTCCAGGGCAAATTTTCGGAGGGGGCCATTCTATTGAGTGTGTGGGGTTTTTCTAATTCTAGGCCAGCTTGGCCACAACTTCCGGGGGGTTTCCATTGTGGAAGGGGGGTCCGGCCCCGGAAATTTTGGAAAAGTTATACTTACAAAGTCGACAAGCACTCTGACGAAGAAAAAGTTTAATCTCTTGTAATCTGAAAGGGAGAGTTTAAATGTAAAACTTCCTTAAACCATTGATAAACCTTTTTCTGTTCTTACTGGCCCTGTAATTTTACCTATCTATTTTTAAATGTTTTGTTTCATAATGTCGACGCGCATTGTATTCCTTTTAACAATGATTGTTTCACAAAATAAAAAAGTTCCTCGCTTACTACATTTTTTATGTTTTTAGTGCTGTTAAAAATCGACCATCAATCTTAATTTGCCTAAATAAACTATAAAAAAATATGTTAAGGTTCAAACTAACTACACAGTAATAAGCACCGTCTAAAAATATAAATTTGAAATCTTTATGTTAAAAAATAAGTGTAGCAAAGGTATGTTTGTGTAAAAGAGAGAGGTCCATACGACCCGCCGGTGGCGCCGGACTCAGTATCCCACCATTTTGAATGGTGGGCACAGCCCGTTTTTCCACCACACAGCGCGCCAGTAACCAGGGGAGTATTAGATTAAGCATACTCCGTATTAAGTTATTATATAGATGATATCTGTACTAGATTTCCCAGCCTGACGGGTGAGGGTACGACACTGCGATGTTGATGATGTATACACTCGAACGCACATGTCTACGTGAAAGAATACTCTGTAGAAACGGCAGTGTGGTAGTCAGGTAGACATCGGCAACGTCGCACTCGTAGTACTGTAATGGCGGTTGCTCAATCATGAGTCTAGACTAACCTAACTTAGAAAACAGCTAAGCAAAGCTTAAGCCTTAAACGCTTCCATTACTTACCATTATAATTTTGTCATGTGCTTGTGCTTAAGTGGAGGGATGCACATAGGTTGAATCTTGTAAAACTGTGTTACTAATTAAAAAAACCGTAACAAAACAAATACCCAACTGACTACTGAGCCGCATTTTTTTTTATAGTGGGTAGTAGGATGTACTGTATGACGCACTGACGTGAGGAAGGCATAGGATGGTGGGAAACGGGGATGTGCGCGGCAATTTTTAAGTCTATTTTTTAAATTATAAAGCTTGAAAAAATAAAAAACTGATTCTCGGGGGGGGGGGGGGGGGGGGGGGGGGCCATGGCCCCTATGGCCCCCTCTCTGGAACCGCCACTGACGGTTAGATAGTTAGTTAAATTAGTGTAAATCAAAGCTGGCTAGGCAAGTGTTCTGATCTGGGTAAAAGGTTTCCGTCCCTCTGGTCCCCAGCAATCTTCCTCATTTTATTGGTAGCAGATTCAGCACGCTAGCACGCTTATAATAAGTTTGGTCCGGACACAGTTATTCCTAACCTATTAGCATTACCCTGTTTATTCCCTCCTGATTCCCCGAATTCCCATCAATATCCCGCGCTCCCACACCATCTTATCCCATAACCTCCATATATTTCCCCCCGGCTACATCATATAGTATATAGTAGTCTTATTTCCTCCCCCCCCCCCCCCCCCCCCCCCGCTACATATTGTAGCAGGCTTAGGCCTAGATCAGAGTACTTAACCTAGTCAATTTCAGTTTCAGTTTTAGGAGATTATTTTTTAAGTGAACATTCTGGGGATATTTTTTCTGCCAAAAAGTAAAAGCATTTTTCCCTGACTTAACCGACGCCGGATAGGTAGGCTAGTAGTTTAATTGTCCTTAGATATGCCAAAAAAATACTTCATAACATGCCATAAAGGTGTGCAGAGTTTGGTTTTTCAAGTGTGAGCCGTTACAAAATTTACAGGGGGTCTCCAGGAAAGCTGTATGTTAAATTTAACTTCTGAGAATTTCAATTGGCTGCCATTTTTTACTGGATTGAGATACAGTGGAACCTTGATAAGAAGACCCTCGATAACAAGATGACCTTGGTAACAAGTGTCATTTTCAAATCCCCTTAAAATTATTTTACCCCTTTTCACATGTTATTACAAACCTCGATAAGAAGTCAACCTTGATAACAAGTCTTATTTTACAATACCCATGAGAGTCTTGTTATCAAGGTTCTACTGTAGATACCTCTGGTTTGCGTTGTTAGTTTTCTTTTTTACCAGGATCTTCAAAATGAGGGATCACTCAATGGGTCTTACTATTTGAAATTTTTGAGTTTCCTCTAAAATACCCATTTTGGGGATGTACACCAAGCATAATCGGACCATGGGACCCGGTTTTATGGGGTAAAAATGGGCTGAAAATGGGGTATTCATGTTTTGGACGAGTTGTAACGAGTTTTTGGGGACATCGGTTTAACCGGAAACACCACTATCCCCGAGGAGTCCGGATAGGAGGGAGTCTACTGTATTCAACAAATTTCCATTGTTACTTATCACCCGATCACAGGCTACTAGGTGTTGTGTTGTCATCAGTTCCGAGCTACTGTTGTAAAACGCACAGCAGACAGATGTGTAAGGAGCAAACAATTGTCAGCGCAAGCGTTGCCGTTAGGCCTACTTACAGCTTCTGATTAATATTTATGTTCTGCTACCATTTTATTTTTCAAAATGAACTGTGATGTCTCAGAAAAAATAGTAGGAGCCTAATACATATCAATGTTGAATACTTGCACTTTTAAACACTAGTATTATGAAATACAACTTTCCATCTAAGAAAGATTGTGTGAAATACATTTTTACATTATTGCCAATTATTTCCAAGAATTTTCTGGAACTTTTAGCGAATTTCCCATATAGGGAATAAGCTATTACCGTAGTACTCATGGTAAGACCTGGACCCGGGACCAATTTACTTTTTCGTTTTGAGGTCCCTAGAGGCCAAAAACACCATCCGTCCGAATTCATATATATATATATATATATTTATATATGTGTCCATTAGCGCGATAACTCGAGCAAAAATCATCCGATTTTTATGAAATTTGGTACAAATGTGTAAACCTACATTTATTCAAACGATTTCGCGAACCAGCATGATCGGACTATGGAAAGAGGGGTTTATGGGGAGTTTTATGGGGTAAAAATTTGTTTTTCCCATTTTTTACCCTAAAAACATAAAATTTAGCAACTTCTTTCCAAACCATTTTGTAGAGCTTAAAAAAACAAATAATTTAGTATATTGAAGCGTTATTATGCGCCTAATGGCTACGGAGAAAATTCAAAAAATTGTAAATTTAAAATTCCCATGTTATTCTTATGGAGAAAATTGTAAACTGTTGTAGTTTGCTTGTTTATGAGCATATTTTGATCAAATTTGGAAAATGCATTCATTTCATACTAAACTATTAACATTGTACAAAAAACACTTTTTTACCACCCTCCCTGTTGCAGCAAACCTAAGTACTCGTTAAACTAATGCTATTTAAATAGGGAATAAATGTAATATTTTTAAGGAGACATTTTAGTGTAAATCCAATCAGGCAAATGGAAATTTGCTTAGTCTGCAGGTTTGCTGCGGCGGGGGTATTTTAGATTAAGAAGAAATTTGGATTACCTGTGTTCCGACTAGCAGGACTCAAGTGTACTTGCACTATTGGCGATCGGTGTTTAACTTCGTCCTGGTTAAGTATGGTGATGGTAAAATATTTACATATTATCTTAGAATGTTAGATGCCAAAATACATTAGTTTAGTGACATCGCACATCACATACATAGTACATAGTATAGTGAAACAGCATATCTCCCAGCAGCCCCTAACCTAACTCATCTGCTCAAACTGTGAAATCAAAACAAAACTTTGAATGGATCAACTAACAAATCTTGTAAAGAAGACAATTCCTTATTTTTTCATAAAAACTTAAACATACACAGAAAGTTATAATAATCGTGTGTATACTTATAAAGTTCCGTAAATTTTTGGGGTAACCCGGGGTACCCAACAAAAATACTGTTGATTTTTTGAAAGAACGGGGGTTTCAAGGCGCTATGGACATCCTGATAAAATGGTTTAGGAAAAGTGGATGATCAAATTAGTGACACTTTAGTACAAGATGTAATTTATTATAATTCATTACCTCAAACGGCTCCTCTGTAATGCATCTAAGAACAATCTCATCAAAGGCAAACTCAATCCGGACCATCCCGTTAGGTATTGGAGGTGTGGGTGGTGGTGGGCCGTATGTTGGTGGTGGAGGGGGGTAAGGACCAGATGGGTATTGTTGCTGATACGTAACAGGAAAGTAACTACCAATATCCTGTTTATCATCTATGGCTAAAGCCCTTGATCTGTAAACAAAACATAGACGTTAAGTCAGAACAATAATTACACATAGTTAAACATAAAACATAAATAAATTTGGGAAGTGAAATATTTTTTTAAATAAAACATTTTATCCAAAATTATTTTTTTAAACAGGCCAACAAATTGGAAAAAAATCCAATTGTTTAAACACTATTTGGTTTATGATAATTTAGGGGTGTGCGATGCATCGAAAATGCATCAAAATTCCGATTTGATTTGGTGGTGATCAAAAAAATATTCGATTCATGAGGGAAACAGTATCCATATACGAAAAACGCCTGCAGAAAGTCTATGCAATACAGGAGCGCGTTGTTGTTGCATTTCCTTTGCGAAGGTGTTCTTATCTTCTATCTATTTAATTAATACGCGAACACGAAGTTTGTCGGTTGAACTCCTCCGCCATTTCTTAAACGATTTTATCCATTGACGTCTCATTGGAAAGAGCGTGTCGTGTAGATTTGCAAACTGGCCTTACATTTTTGAAAAAGTCCCTTGGGTTCTGCCCCAGTGGCTTTTAAAGTTCCCATGTTATCCTTATGAAGAACATAATTGTTTACATTTTGATCAGCTTTATAACTGTACTAGCAGAGTACCCGTCCTTCGTACGGGGTTGGCATATAGAAATAAAATGCTTATTGCAGTTATACTCAAGCTGCGTTTCAATGGGGGAGGACATAGTTTGATAAAATTTGCTTCTTTAAATTTACCGTATACATAGTATTACACATCTATACCATAGCCATTAATGTTCTACCTCTTCACCTAAACCACCTAAACAATAGAGAAAAATTAATTATTAAAAATTCGCAAAATATCACAAATTATTCATTAAATTAAAAACATAAACAACTGTAAACAATCCTACTTTGACAGTTGTCATTGCGTATCACAGCTTTTTGTTGCGGCTTAGTTCAAATTAGCTGTTTTCGTAAATTAAAAAAATAATAGTGCTGCGCCCTGTTGGTAAATTTTATAACTTTTTAATGCTTTTGCATATCATAGAAACAACTTTATAGTTGAAACAGCTGACAAAACTCTTTAATTTCCTTTAAATATGAATACTCATAAGTTTAACATGGGGAACTACAGAGCCACTGGGGCGGAGCGCGAAAGGATTTCATTCTACTTTGACAGTTGTCATTGCGTATCACAGCTTTTTGTTGCGGCTTAGTTAAAATTATTAGCTGTTTTCGTAAATAAAAAAAAAATAATAGTGCTGCGCCCTGTTGGTAAATTTCATAACTTTTTAATGCTTTTGCATATCATAGAAACAACTTTATAGTTGAAACAGCTGACAAAACTCTTTAATTCCCTTTAAATATGAATACTCATAAGGTTAACATGGGGAACTACAGAGCCACTGGGACGGAGCGCGAAAGGATTTTTGAGATAAGAATAAGCCTATATGTTAATTGGGAATGTGAGCTATCATCGTGCCAAATTTCAGCCCAATCCGTCCAGTAGTTAATGTGTGAATGAACTTCAAACAAACAAACACACAAACTTTAAGATTTATAATATTAGTAAGATAATTTAATTGCTGTTATTTATTTTTCAATTCAACAAAACACATTGGGTACATTTACTGATTTTGTTGAAATTAAATATTTACTATTTTAATTTACATTTGTACATATTACAATATAAAAAATCAAGAAAGCCTGGACAATTTTATATATTTGACCAAATAAGAAAAATTTATTGACAGGGTACTGTAATTCTTGAGCTATCATTGAAAGAACCAATTTGTTAACCATGGAAACATAGGAAAGTGATAGAACGCCACCAAGTAGAAGAAATAGAGATTTTAAAAAATACTGTCGTTATCATCCTATATAATGAAGAACACCTACAATATGAAGATTCCCACAAACAATGAACAAGGATGTTAGCCGAAGCGTTACTATTTTGTAGGAAACACGGACTTAACTTTATGATGATTGGCAAAGGAGCAAAGGAAACCCCTCTAAAGGCCGAATTAAACTGGTGCGGTAAGGTTATTAAATATATGTTTTCACTAAAGTCAAGTGATTTTAGCGAATTTCCCATATAAGGAATAAGCTATTACCGTAGTACTCATGGTAAGACCTGGACCCAGGACCGATATAATTTTTCGTTTTGAGGTCCCTAGAGGCCAAAAACACCATCCGTTCAAATTCATATATTTATAAATCAAATTTCATCAAAATCGGATCATTTTTGCTCGAGTTATCTCGCTAACGGACACATATATATATATATATATACACACACATGTATATATATATACATATGAAAACTGTAGTGATTAGGGCTACTATTTTAATATATAATTTATTTTCGTAAAAAAATACAACCGACTTCAAAACGCTCTAAAAAGAATGAAATAATTTTAATAAAGTAAACTTTTGTATTAGTCAAGCTCACATATTTTAAGTCGGCGCGGCTCTATGATGTTTTTTGATACAAAATTGAAAGAGGGTGTCCATATTGCAGGTGACTATCTATAACTAAAGGTGTTAATCTGCATGTCTTTTTCATAGTTATGCGTTGGGTGTTATTTTATTACCGTAATGAAAGATCGGCATTATAGTGGTATTAAACGAGTATCTTTAAAAAGATTATAATGCATTTAAAAGTTTCTAACTTGGAAAAGTAACGTTTTAATACTAAACTAGCTTCTTTTCCCTATCATAATATCAAACTAAATTATTTTACTATTCATATAGAACATTTGTGTGTGTTATTTTCATAGTGCATTTATTCTGAAGTAAACATAAAATACAAGAAAATATTTCCTTAAATATATAAACAAAACAGTTCAGTATGTTTTTTATATATTTATGTTATCCAGCCACAATTTATTGATTTTCAAAAAACAAACACAATATTTTATTTTAATCATATTTGCAGTTTGAGCCACGCCGACTTGAAATATGTGAGCTTGACTAATACAAAAGTTTACTTTATTAAAATTATTTCATTCTATTTAGAGCGTTTTGAAGTCGGTTGTATTTTTTTACAAAAATAAATTATTTCATGATTTTTAGTGACTGTATAATTTTTTATATATTAATTACTTGAGGTTTTTTTATAAGCAAAACTGTTTGAAACAATCAAAAGTTCCACAGAACAATCATTATTTTAAAACTGCTTGAGTCACCTGTTCAGGTTACATAATCAATGGGTATAAAAATAAACAAGTTTAGATATTCCTTAAGAAGCAAAGAGTTGTCCATTACATTAGGCCTAGTGAAAAATTAATTGTCTTTTCTAGGGACATTGAAATGTCAGACATCATCGTTTCCTGCAATCGGTGTACTTCTACATATAAAAAAAATACAGTAACGTCTCAAGCCTTTTGGAACAACATGAAAGTTATTCCTCAGCTACCAGCACTAAAAAATCTCTCAAAAGTAGAAAATTGGTCGTTATCATGTATAGTACATTTGGAAAATATGTATATGAAAGATTGGTTCAGCTAAACGTGGTGTAAGCCATGTAGGTGGTTTTGTTTGCTCAAGATATAGCCTAGTCGAAATTGCAAATCATCTTCCTCTAGGACTTTCCGAAGCAGGCATAATAGTATTGATATGATATAGTAACTGGGTAGATAATATTAATAAACATTCCACATCTGCAAATGCATGTTTAGTAATTAAAATATTTAACACTTTTAAGACAATTGACGATTATGCACTCTCACACTTCTTAGGTCGTGTAAGGAATAATTGCATTTAATTTATATTTAGACCTCTTTTACGAATGCTTTGGTTTTCACAATACACCTTTATTTGTCAATATCATACAGTTATTCACTGAAACATATATGTTTTTGTAAGTCAGAATATTCAATACTAAAAACAGAATTACTGTATACGCAAATCAGGTCAAACGTTAAAATACATTTTTTATAGTAACCAAAACAAAATGCATTTTTCTCAATGTAATTCATTTAGGCTCCATGGCAAGAAATAGTTTATTGATCAATATGAAGCAACTGTTTCATGAAGAATTATTGTCTGTAGCTTCATTTAAATGGTTTCAACTAACAGCTGTAGGGATGTTATTATTATTTATTGCATTCTCTGCAAAAATGTAAACAAAATAAATGTTGAATATTTGTGGTTTTCAGCATTTTTCACCAAAAGAAATATTATACTTAAACATAATATATATATATATATGGTACCAAATAGAAATTCTCCTGGTTATTTTGGTGGTGGAACCACACTGATCGGTAAAAGAATCGCAGAGAAATTGGTGAACATACATAGAAAAAAAAAAACATCGCCACAAACAAATTGAGAACCTCCTCCTTTTGTTGGTAGTGGGGAAGTCGGTTAAAAAATACATTATTTGAAACCAAGTACAGTAGAACTCCGATTATCCGAATCAATAGGGACCAGACCCCATTCGGATAATCAAAAATTTGGATAATCAGAGTTTTACTGGAATTCCGGGAATTTTAAAGAAAAATCCTCATTTTCGGTACTAAGTAAACTTTTAATTAATAATAATTTAAATCAGAACATTTTTACAGTTTACAATGCTCACAGTACAAGTGTTCTATACTTGTTATTAAGTCAATAGTGTTCCATCAAAGTCCAAAATTGGTTAAATGTGTTTAATAACAATTCTTTGATATTTTGCAAAACTTATTACTGTAGCTTTACGTTTTTAAAATTGTTGAAATAAGCGATTCGGATAATTGGAGATTCGGTTAATTGGAGTTCGGATAATTGGAGTTCTACTGTACCCTTTAAAAAAATCATTTTATTGAACAACGACTAGTTTCGACAATTATGTCATAGTCATGTTATTTTTACATCCAACAAATACAATAAACATTTGATCTAAATAAATAAAATCATATGATTTCATAGGTTTTGTGACTTTAGATTTCTTCTGTTTTAAATGGTTTTCATACTATCTTATATATTAAAACGTGACAGGTTTTTTTTATTTCACGATTCTGAATCAACCACTTGACCGACTTTCATGATTTTTGCGTTGAAAGAAAGATTATTTTGAGAACTAGGGAATGTCGAAGCCATAATTTTAGTTTAGGGTTTCAGTTTTTTTAGAAATTAAGTTTACAATTTTAAAAAGTCTAACAGCCGACGCTAACATTCTAGTCTAGCTTTTGGTACGATACAATTTGCTTAACGTAACAGCTGTAAACATTCAGCGTTTTCGACAGAAATTCAGCTTTTGGATGAAAATGAAATGACATACGTAGAATTGACTTATTTATACTATGAGTAATGCTATAATCATTGATACGTTCATTTATTCGGTAAGAGGATGATAGTTTATTTAAATATACATAGTAAAATACTAGATGATCTAATTTATTTTTTGAACGGTCTTTAAAATATTTAGTTTGTTTTAGTGAAATATAGTTTGTTATAACTAACAGCTGGTTGAATACAAAAATATTCGATAGAACTATGAGGTTAGTTTATTAACTCTGTGATTTTGTCATTGATTATAGGAAATAAGTAAGATTCTATAACCACTGATGTAAACATACAAATCGAGGCTCTGACCCCGAGTTTTCAAAGGAAAGCGTATGCAAATTATTTTTATGTTCGACTGTTTGAGGAAAGAATAGGAAAATAACAATGTTTACATGTTTTAATTCATCTTGGTAGCTTTTTGTTTACAGTAAATGTTTAACCGGTTGAACTTTGCTTGGATTAGAAATGGAAATATTGATATAAAACTTCAGTTTTAGTTGACTACTCAATTCCCGTACGTAGGACGGGCCAACAACTCGTATATAATAACTTTCTCTTTTAATTTAACTGCAGGATTTTTTCAAATATTGGATTGGATTTGTTGATGTTCATTTTGTTTAGTAAATTTTCTGGGTGTCATTTATAGTTTTAAGTGAAAATCTTCTTTAACATGTAATTTGGATTTGCCTTGTTCATATTCAAGGATTTTTAAATTTTCTTGTATGCTTTTGTATTCATGGTCTGTTTGTTTAACTAAAACTAAAACTAAACACAATGAACATCAACAAATCCAATCCAATATTTGAAAAAATCCTGCAGTTAAATTAAAAGAGAAAGTTATTATATATAGTATGAAAACCATTTAAAACAGAAGAAATCTAAAGTCATCAAAACCTATGAAATCATATGATTTTATTTATTTAGATCAAATGTTTATTGTATTTGTTAGATGTAAAAACAACATGACTATGACATAATTGTCGAAACTAGTCGTTGTTCAATAAAATGATTTTTTTAAAGGGTACTTAGTTTCAAATAATGTATTTTTATATTAAAATAGCAGCCCTAATCACTACAGTTTTCATATATATATATATATATATATACATATGTGTTATATATGTGTGTCCGTTAGCGAGATAACTCGAGCAAAAATTATCCGATTTTGATGAAATTTAGTACAAACGTGTAAACCTACGTTTATTCGAACAACAATTTCGTTTGCAAACCAGCATAATCGGACTATGGGAACGGGGGTTTATGGGGAGTTTTATGGGGTAAAAATGGGGTTTTCCATTTTTTACCCTAAAAACAAAAAAAATTGCAATTTCTTTCTTAGCCATTTTGCAGAGCTTAACCCTCCGAGTGTCCATAGTTTAGGCCTTAATGTCCACCTATTTTTGGCCCCTTTGCAAGGTTTTATTAAAACGGATCTGAGAAGCTTAAAACAATGTTAATTCTAATGTTCTATATACCATTTTGTTTGGAAAATCATGGGCTTCAATATTATATATAAAACATAAGGAACATTTTTTCAAAAAAAAAATTTTTAGGTAAAAAAAAAATATAATTTCGAAAATTTTCAAAAAAAAAATAAGTTCGCGCTCAATGAAATTGTATAAATTATAGGCCTATAAATATTTGAAAATAGCCACTTTGTTCTAAATTTAATGAGGATTACAAATATATAATTTGTAAAACGGATTTCAGTACATAGCGTTTAGCTAAGAATGCATAGCCTAACCATAGCTAGGAATCTGGCTGATAATTTACATCAATATCACTACCTACTTCTTCAGGATCATCAACCAGCACTTCAAAACCACTTAAATCTTCTTATAATGCACCACGTATATCACTACTTTTGATTTTTAACACTAAAACAATGATAAACGTAATAAAACACATCAGTCATCGGTCCGGGGGAACCTAGCTGTTTACAAATACACGCACGTCAGCTGTCTGCTACAATATTTTCGGAACTAAAATGAATAGCGCTTAGAGACAGACCTCTGGAGAAAGCTTAGAATATTACGGAAAGAACGATACCTAACTCGATCCAGTTCAATCCGATTCAGTCAGTCATAGAGCCTTCGCCGTAAACGATGTTTGTGCGTCTTAAAAGCGACGCGTGACCCTACACAAAGTGTGTTGTGCGTCGTTTTTATGACGCGTGACACTCGGAGGGTTAAAAAAAGAAATAATTTAGTATATTGAAGCGGTGTTGTATGCCTAACGGTCACGTATGCCTAAACCTCAATAACACTTTCATTGAAGGACAAAACAAAAAACTATCAGAACAACATTAGGCCTTTCAATTCTGCATTTTTTCAGGTAAATATAACTTACGTTATAACAGTAACTAGCCAAATGAATGCCAATTGAAGCAAATAAAATTATGACAGAGAGGTTATGCAGAAAATCAGACAGTGCTTAGGTAATGTAAACAAAATTTTATCACTATAAAAAATGACTGAAATTTGTAAACGTACTAGCGACAATGGGGAGTACCATACTGACTACATTATTATTGACGAAGATCGACATGGACAACCTAATGCGGCTATAAGTTTGAAACATTTGTAGAATACACTAAAAACCAGATCAGATTTTGAAAAATGATAAAATATTTACAAGAAGTTATTTGTTTTTAAATAACTACTTTACTTCTTTTTTCAATTTCTCCATTTCGAGCTACATGTACACTAGTAATATATTAATAGACAAGCATGTTTCTTTAAAACCTTTTTCTCAGCTCATGTGTATCGCAGGGGAAATCTATGCATACTGTTAGAAAGATATTTTCCTGTAGATGTGCAGAATCTTTTTCTAAATTAAAATGGGCTCGAAAATAAGCATAAAAATGAATGTAAAATTTTAAATAATTAAAATGGGTAATATTGGGTTGCTATGCTGGTGACGAAATAACAACGAAATATAAACAGAAAATCAATACAAACAGAAGAAATTCAAATCACATGTTTTATTTACAGTGTGGGGTGAAAATAGTCACCCCAAATAGTCATGTTAGGTAGTGGTGTGGGGTCTTTACAATACATATTTTTGGTCGAATTTTTGACCACTGGTCGACTTCTAGTTTAATTAATTCTTTGCATGTAAATATTGCTTTTTTTTTGACATTGCAAATGATGGGAAGTTTTGTTAGGTGTAAACAGTGTGAGACAAGTTTTACTACTGTAAACATAGCCAAAACAAGTCACTCCAAAATCATTCTAAAAATAACACAAGTCATGAAAAATCTTTACTTGATACTAACTGGTAAGACTGATAAATTTGGCATTTTTCTAGGTCTGAAGCTATGTATACCTTGTAGTTTGTAGGTCTGATTCTATCCTCTCATTTTATCAATGTTAACCAATTGAAAGATTCAGTATAAATGTTGGTTGCATTCCAGATGTTAAAGACTTTTGTTTTGTTCTGATTGTTAAGTTTGTTTAAATAAGAATAATAATTCAGTTGTAATTGGAATGGAGAATAAATTGAATACACTAGATTTGATCTTGTTCTTTTAAAATATTACAGGTAACATGCTTAACAATATGATTCTAAAAATAAAAATTATGAAACAGGCAAGTAAAGCAGCTCACTGACATTTCCAGCAGTACAGGTTCTTTTAATATGATTGAAAATAAATTTCACCTAAAATTCATGTCTATTACATGAATATGACCCTAGGGTGGTATTATAGGGTGGTATAGGGTGGCTCATAGGGTGGTATTACCCTATGAATAGGCCTAATACCACATAAAAAATGTGTGTTACACAAATGTGGTAAATTTTAATTACCTATTGTTATTTCACTCCATTTACAAGTATTCATGAATATAAAAATGCCATATTGCGAATCGAGTTGCATCGATTAGAATCAAAAATCTTTTGAATCGAATCATTGCTTTAATCGAAATTTTTTTGCTGCTTCGCACACCCCAAAACATGAATTAACATGTTATGAACAAAAATTTCAAGTACAACAATATTTTGACTGTAACAAATCTTTCATTCAAGTTATTTATTTTCATACACATTTATTTGTCTATAGCCTACTACTACTACACACTACAAAAATCAACATACTTAGGAAAGTGGATTGCCTCTTGTTTTTTAGGCAGAGTATTCATGTCTGTCCTTGATGTCCAGAAGTACATGCTGACTAACCATACAGTCCTCCATAGTAGAGTCATCCCAACCTAGAACATGCAGCTTGGTCAGTAATGCTGATCTTAGTCAGTAACGCTACACAGATCATCTCACACCATTCTACACTCATCCTTCACTCACCCAAATTTTGGGTTTAAGTACGCAACTAGGTGGCGTCCCCATCTCATAATGATAATGATAATAATTATACGAGACTCTCCCGATCGTAACACCCCCCTCCACCGCAACCAAACTTGCGGATATGAAAAAAATTGTTGACAAAAAGTTAGTGCTACCAGCGGGATTTGAACCCGGCACCTTCAGATTATCAGCCCGACACGCTATCCACTACACCACCTAGGCTCATGGCTCTAATCCGTATCGTTGCGGTAATGGTGTTCCCTCAAGAGAAGAGACTAACGTCACACCATCGGTATGGCGCGGTGGTAGGGGTGTTACGATCGGGAAAGTTTAATATAATTATCAACAAGATAGTATAGATTATTTATACATATATTAACACATCATTCATGCAAAATTTGCATCAATTTTCAGTTTCACATGTTTAATAGGTATGTAGACCACACTGATTCACCTGATAAATCAATAAATGGGGGTAAATAAAAATTATTACAAGGTTTGAAAGGATTAATCCGGCAGAGGTCGCACTGAATTTAAAACACAATGAGACGCACACAGTCTTTCCAATCGGGTGAAATAAAAAAGCCATATTGCAGTAAGCATTATATTGTATCAATAAGCATTATATTTAGGGGTCTCAATCCCGGGCCTTCAATCCAATCCCGGGATTTCGGGATTCGTCTCAGCCGATCCCGGGATTATATAATATTATGATTTTTAACTTTTTAGCCATTTTAAATGAGCGAGAAGTCCCCTCGTTGAGTACTTTCACCTTTTAAACTGGCCTTACCAGTGTTACACTGCGCAATGTTTCCGTTTTCTAGGTAAATAAATATTACCATGCGGAACTTTCATCGCCCGTATTTCTTGTTTACAGTGTATAAATGTTGATTTGTCACTCTAGAATATAATAAATACATTTAAAAAATAACGAGCAACCGCACTCGCACGTAGCCTGTAGGTATAAATGGATGGATGGCGCTAATAGATGGATTAAAGATAGCTAAGATAAAAAGATAAAATGGGAAGAATCACGAGTACCAGCGTAAAAATGTTATTTTGACTGACAGCAATAAAACAATATAAGATACTGTAAAACTATAAACCATCTGCTTATGTAGTAGCGTGTGTATGAAAAACGTAATTTAGGATTGTAAGAAATTTAATCACCACACTAATAACCAAATACGAAGATAAAGTTATAGACTCTAAATATAAGCAATCTTAATAATGAGATTATAATGGTGTATTTATAGTTATATTTTATGGCTTCAATGAAAATAAATAAATAATATTTCAATTTCCGATTGCAATGTTATGTTTGCTACACAAATTGCGTGAATGTCAAAAGTAAAACTCAAAATAACTTTTAGGCCTACTGTAATGAAGTTCTAACTAATGTAATAACATTTACAGAAAGTAAATCCAAATCGTCTAAAAACTGAAACATATATTTACATACGTTCACCTATTGAGTTTAATGATAATTAAATTTTCCAATCAAAATAGATCATTACTACCATTTCATTGTGCCATTTCATATATATATTTATCGTCCTAAAAATAACGAGTATATGAGTTTCAAATGTTATTGGACATATTTTTATTTATTTTCAGTAAGTAAAAGTCCTCAAATTCACAAAAAATAAATATAAACATAGGTTTTGCAATCCCGTTATCCCGGGATTAAAAGTCACCAATCCCAGGATTTCTAGGTATAAAAAATTGGCCGGGATCCCGGGATTGAGACCCCTTATTATATTATATTAATTTTCACGTTTTTCAAATTATATTCCTCAAAATCGTAAAAATAGTGTAAAATAATTCACACACACATTCGGTTCGAAGTAAAGGCTAACCTGGAGAGGTGTTCATCCTATAGAGTCCCCAAACAAACCAATTGGAAGGGAATTGGGAAGTGATATAGAGAATCCCTACAAATAGAGCTGGAGGGAGCAATGGTACATACCAGTACAGTAGAAGGCTTAAGAAAGAGTTAGCGAAGTCTGTCAAAACCTAAATACAAAAAGCCTTTGAAGATAACTGCCCCCTCAGATCCAAAAGGATGTCAAGAGACGTACCTTGGTGGAATGAGAAGCTAAGCAAAATGAGATCAAGACCCAGAAAACTCTTCAATGTCACGTGTAGGACAGACAACCATAACGCCTACCCGAGGGCCTTGACGGAGTACAATCTGGAAATCAAAAAGTCCAAAAGAAGGACTTGTAGGCTATTCTGTGAAAGGCTGTCCAGCCTACCAGAAACGGCCAGACTCCAGAAAGCACTATAGAGTGAACAATCCAACCCTTTGGGCGCAGTAATGGCTGAAGAAGGCCATCTCATGACCAACATGGGCGACACCCTAAAGGAGATGCTAAGAGTACACTTCCCGGAGAGCTGTCCCATAGGGGAAGGAGCCAATTGGCCCCGCCCAGGGAGGTCCGCTAGGGAGGTGGCCCTAGCCAGACGGGCGTCGGGAAAGTTATTCAAACCAGATGTTATGAAATGGGCAGTAAACTCATTCTGCCCTTTCAAATCTCCTGGGAGAGATGGCGTATTCCCTGCTCTCTTGCAAGAAGCCATGGAGGTTCTAGTGGATCTCCTTGTTGCATTGTATAGGGACAGTTATGCACTGGAATATATTCCAACTAGATGGAGAAAAGCTATATATAGTGGTGTTCCTACGAAAGAAATGACAAGAACCAACTCAGCCTAAATCCTACATACCAACATGTCTAACCTCATTCATGGTAACGGCTATGGAGAAGGTCATTAACAGGCATGTGAGGGATGAGATTCACAAACTCAAGCCTGAATGTTAACCAACATGCCTTTATGATGGGCAAATCTACTACAACAGCGCTTCATAGCCTGGTAATGAAAATTGAAGACACATTAGATCACAACGAAATCCTGGCAGGAGTCTTCATGGATATCCAAGGAGCCTTTGGTAATGTGTCCTATCAGTCAATAGAGGAAGCACTGATAGAGAAATTCCTCAAGAAGTCGTGTGTTGGATAATGGCTCTGCTGCAAAGCAGAGAAATATCAGCCATGGTCGGAGACTCGTCAGTTACAATGGCCAGAAGAGGGCAGAAGAGGGTGTCCGCAAGGAGGAGTCTTATCTCCCCTACTATGATCACTTGTGGTCGACGGCTTGCTGAGGGAAGCTGAACAAACAGGCATTGACCTACAGGCATTTACAGATGATCTAGTGCTGACTGTGAGAGGGAAACACCTTATCTAAGGTAGATTTCATTGACAATTGGTGCAACACAAAGGGTTTGACAATCAACCCCACAAAAACTGAGATAGTGACCTTCACGAGGAAAAGGAGAACTAAAATCTCCCCACCCCAGATTAGAGTAGTGAGGGTCAAGTCAGTCAAAGAGACTAATTATCTGGGTGTATACTTAGATCAGAAGTTGACTTGGAACAGGCACATAGATCACGTCATTGCCAAAGGAACAGGATCCATGGGCGCCTGCAGAAGAACATTTGGCAAAAAATGGGGACTTTACAACAAGATCATACCCGACAGTGGTGATGGAGTCAATTTTAGGCGCAATCCAACTCGGACTGGATATAAAGGAAAGGGCAGCATTAACAGCCCTGAAGACTCACAGTTAAGGAGAAATACATCCTTCAAGAAGGACGGGTCAAATGTCAATTCTAAGGGAACTCCCAAGTTTAGACATGGAAATGACGGTCTCAGATCTTATGATTAGGAAGTGCTGTTGTAATGTCTAACTTACATATTCATTGCCTGCCTAATTTGTTATAACATATGGTTAATGTTATATTTCTATATTGTTATGAGTTTGTTTATAGTTGACATTCAGTTGTATTCTGATTCTATCTTATTCCCAATTAAATTAGTTTCATGTTAACTAACTGTAAAATCATTTTATACAATCAGGGTAATTAACCGCTGCAGCTCTACTCTGCTATTTCTACAACATCAGGTTATGGGCCTCCTGTTTACTGATTTTTAATTTCTCTGATTATTTTGCCCAAGTTCACCAACTTTGAAAATGTATCAACCTCCTTCAATAGAGCAATTGAAAGGCCGTGAAAACTATGATACATGGAAAGTTGCCATTCAAGCATATTTGGAGGATTGTGAGCTCTGGGACTGTATTTTGGGAACTGAAGAAGATAGAAAGAAAGTGACAAAATGTAAATCCAAAATTATCTTGCTAATTGATTCAGTCAACTATGTCCATGTTCAATCAGCAGAAACAACCAAGGAAGCCTGGGAAAATTTAGAAAAGGCATTTTCTGACAGGGGTTTGACCCGAAGAGTTGGTTTACTGCGATTGTTAACAACTACAAGGCTAGAAAATTGCAAATCCATAGAAGATTATGTAAATCAAATTGTATCAACGGCCCACAAGCTAACCAACATTGGTCTGAAAGTGGATGATGAGTGGGTAGGAACAATTTTACTTGCTGGACTACCGGATCAATTCCAACCGATGATCATTGGTATTGAATGTTCTGGTGTCAAGATAACGGCTGATTCAATAAAAACCAAACTACTTCAAGATGTATCCGTGGAAAATAACTCTTCCAAATGCATTGCGATGTACAGTTATGGTCGAAGAGAAAATTCAAGACCAAGTTTTCAGAACAGCCACAGACACAACACTTCATGTAAAAAGAAACCCACCGAAGAAAAGAAACGGCAAAATAGCAAAGATTACAAGGGTCCTCGATGTTTTCAATTCAATGCAATGGTTATGGCCACATATCAAGGAACTGTGACAAATCCACGAACATCAGCACCAGAAATGAAAGAGACAGTTGTAAGTCTAAACAGGACAATTCACTCTTTGCTGCTTTCTCAATGCTAACAGATGTAAGTAGTGATTGGTATCTAGATTCAGGAGCTAGTGCTCATTTATGTG